GGGGATTCGAACCCGCCACCTTAGGTGTACGTGGCTGGCGCCTTAGCCGGTTGAGCTATAGGCGCCGAGCCTTCATTTTCTTTAAAAAGGTCAATTTACATTGAACTGATTTCACAGCTGCTTCTGTAGACCTGCAGGTTTTTTGTGGAGATAGAGTGGGGAGAACAACACTGAATCTGAAGAATTGGTAACCAGTCATGCCACCTTAGTAGATTACTCCCATCTACTTGTACAGATGGTCTCCAACTTCTGATGGGTCAGTATAGGATTTTTCAACCTTAAAATGTTGCAGAAGTAATAAATGTTCAGTAGAAACTACTTTAGGGCCAGATGTGGTGGCTCAACGCCTATAATCCTAGTGCTTTGGGAGACTGAGGCAGATGGATTGCTGGGCTCACGAGTTCAAGACCAGCCTGAGCAAGAGAGAGACTCCCCCCCATCTCTAAAAAATAGCTGGGCCTTGTGGCAGGCACCTATAGTCCTAGCTACTTGGGAGGCTGAGGCAAGTGAATCACTTGAACCCAGGAGTTTGAGGTTGCTGTGAGCTATGTCAGTATGGCACTCTTCCCAGGGCAACAAAGTAAAATTGTCTCAAAAGAAAAAAAAAAAGAAAGAAACTGTACTCTGAGTATACATACAACCATTCTATTTTTCACTTTCAGTACAGTATTCACTAAATTACATGAGGTGTTCGATACTTTATAGAATAGGCTTTGTGTCAGATGATTTTGCCCAACTATAGGCAAAATAGTGGCATACAGTGCCCGGCTAGTTTTTCTTTCTTTTTTTTTTTCCTCAAGACAGAATCTCAGTTTGTTCCTCTCAGTAGAGTGCCCTGGTAGTTATAGCTCCCAGCAACCTCAAAATCTTGGGCACAAGTGCTCCTCTTGCCTCAGCCTCCCATGTACCTGCCTATTTTTAGAGATGGGGTCTTGCTCTTGCTTAGACTGGTCTTGAACTCCTGAGCTAAGACAATCTACCGGCCTCAGCCTCCTAAAGTGCTGTGATTACAGGCAGGAGCCACTGTGCCTGGCCTAGTTTTTCAACGTTTAGTAGACACGGGTCTCACTCTTGCTCAGGCTGGTCTTGAACTCCTGAGTAAAAGCAGTCCACCTGCCTCAGTCTCTCAGAGTGCTAGGATTACAGGCATGAGCCACCATGCCCACCCAGTGTGTAATTTTTTGTTGAAATTCTTAACTGTAGACTTAATTTTTGCCTTTAGAGCAGTGGTTTTCAACCTTTTTAATGCTGCAACCCTTTAATACAGTTCCTCATGTTGTGGTGACCCCCAACCATAAAATTATTTTCGTTGCTACTTCATAACTGTAATTTTGCTACTGTTATGAATCGTAATGTAAATATCTGACATGCAGGAGACCCCCAAAGGGGTCGCAACTCACAGGTTGAGAACCGCAGCTTTAGAAAAACTTGTTTGGTTGTTAAATTATACTACTCTGTTAATAATACAAAGTATTATACCTTAGTCAAAAGTTACAGCATTTGTGCTTGGTACTTAGAGACATACTACTGCAACCAGATCTAAAGGTGTTGTTTGCTAAAAGGGAAAATAAAACATCTTCACTGGACTGTGTGAAAACTAAGTAGAAAATGTCTGTCTGGGTACTAAATGATCACGATGATAATTGGAGAAAGAAAGAAACATATATCTGAAGTAACTGGATTTTTATATGGTTGAGAAAGTCCTGGAGATTCCCAGAGTCCTTGCCAATACTCTAGAGAGAAAGGTTTGGTATCCAGGGTACAGAGATTTCTGAGGAAGGTTAGTGAGTCTTTTTGCTTTTATTGAGGGTCTTATTTTATTTATTAATCATTTTGCCATGATTTCCATATCTTATTGGAATAGCCCATTTAATAATTCCCCATGGTAAAGCATTTCTAGCTTTTATTTTGTCATTTTGCCTGGTTTATTTTTACTTCCATTCACCTTACATGAAATTGAACCTAAAGCTTTGTTATTGATATTGTTTTTTTTTTTTTTAATTGGTAACTATGTACATTAATGCACTTCTGGGGTACAGTGTGGGGTTTTCACATGCAATCCGAAATACTTCCATCAAACTGGTCAACACAGCCTTCATTGATATTGTTTTTAAAGTAATAGATTATATTGCAGGATACAGCATGACTCAGTATAGCTATTTACATATTGTTATTCAGGAGCTTGAACTCCAGGTAATCATCTTTTTCTCCTGACATAAACTTTGATCTTACTCCCTGCTT